AAGGATAATTTTACTCAGAGCCACTTACATCAAATGAAAAATAACTGAGATGATACAGGTACTTGACAGCTACTATACTAATAATCTGAGTGGCACACAGGGGAAATTTGGGGAGGTGGGAGGGTTGGGAAGTGTTTGAGATAAAGGTGTACACTGTTGAAAGAATAATATTACGTCTTAATCTTGTGTTAACAAAGTCTAAATAGCTGGGTAATCTTGGAAAACTGTCAGGGTGAATGTAGCTGTATCATATGCTTCTTTCTAAGAACCTATTTATGGGAAAGATATATTTTCACTATAAAAAACAGTGATATCATTTGCCATTATTAAACTTCACATTTTATTTATTTATTTATTTATTTATTTATTTATTTAGGTTGCTACAAAGGTGGAGAGCTGGGTAATGTTGATCTCACTGACAAGTTGTGTGATTTAAACATGACATGGGGGACATGGGCACTAGGCACAACCTTGAAGGTGGAAGGGAGAGGATCAAGGAAGAGATGCCTTTGCCCAAGCCACTTCCCCCATCTTTGATCATGCCTCTCCATGGATACTACCTGGTGATTCAGATCTGGTGGTCAGGGGCTCTGCATTCAGTGGGTTTGGTATAACTCATAAAGGTCCATGATGAAAATCTAAGACATTTTATGTTGCCTTTGGGAGTGGTGGGAAAGGGATTAAGCTTCTATCTAGCTCTCAGATCTTGAACAGGGCCATGAAATTCCTGGTTCTAAATAATTCAGGTTTTCTCTACTACTACCTACTTTATCATCAACGTTTGCTAAGTGATAGAAGAGCAGAAACAAAAAGATCAAAAGGGTCCTAGCTCATGGTAGAATGGTCTCTTAACTCCTTATTTCTTGGTACCATTGATACCCTTGCTCCCCATCTAAAAAACATCACTGAGAATAAACCTTTTATACTCTTAAGTCTGAAACAAAAGTGAGAGCCCAGGGTAGAAAACTGAGTTGATTTTTTTTTTCCTGGCACTTCAAACAGATTTAAATACTGTGAAATTATCGTGGGAGTTATCTCTCAAACTTCAGGTAGTTAAAAGTGATTATAAGACATGTTCTGTTGCTTAAGGATTTGCTGACATCTAATGCCTTTTTTCTCCAAATAAATGCACTGATGACATTTCTGAGTTAATAAAGGATCTGAGAAAGACGTGGCCCTGACCAATACTTTTATTACCCTTACTTTACCACAATCTAACTCATCTGCCACGACCCTCCCACCCACATACACCCTTACCCCCTTCCTCACTGTTATTAATCTAACCTGAATCACTCTATTCTTCTCCAAGAGAACACACCCCAGTAATAGCAATGAGTCATAGACACTCTACTTCTCTGGTCTCTAATGGACTTGATAAAATGCCAGATCTGAGAGAATAAAAGGAAAGGAACTTTAGGTGAAAAGAGCTCTTTAGGATCTTGTTCAGTATATTACCCTCAATATTAGTTACCAGATGAATTTTCTAGTTGCCTGGGGGTGGACAGATTTTTATCATACTAATACTATTGACCATTCCCATATTTCCATACTCTCAGTAGACATCCTACTACTCAGTGAGGCAACCTCTTAGGCATGCCTATAGCTAAGTCAAGGGCTCTTTCATCTTGAGGTTAAAAATAAAACTTTTTCCTTCTTAACTTAGCTAAAGCATATTAAACAGTTCACCCCTTTGATAACAATGTCTTCAATAGACTCTACAAGTGAATCATTACACATTATAAATGTTTATATGAGGTCTTTAGGTAATAGAGAAAAGAAATAGAAATAGTTTGTCAATTATTCTCAAAGGGAAACTTATGAGAAGACAGAGGACTAAATAAAATGCATCTTCTTTACCAATGGATAGGTCTTTAAGATGATATTTGAATTCATGGCAAGAGAAACCTAGAGGAGAGTTTTTAAAGGCAATTATATACAAATGTCTTAAGAAATATTGCAAGTTGATTAAGAGAATTTAGATTTTCTTTTGAGTGTTATAAATCTGTATTAGTTTGTCTTAATAAACACTATAAATCAACTTAATCATGTGCATTCTGCATAATTCCTCAGCTAAGTGGATTTAAATCTGGTCTTAAAAATGTATATTTATATTTTTAATTGTTTTTAAAAATACCTATACTAGCTATGTCTATATACTACTAATATAATTTTTTTTTTTTTGGTCAAACCCAGAAAAGTTAATGAAACGGAACTTAGGTCACCCTGAGATTACTGTTAAAATTTTTAAAATAAAGCTGAAGCCAATAATTAAAAAACTAAATACATCTTCTGAAACAAAAGTTTGAATTGTGGCTTAAAAGTGTGTGTGTGTTTGTATGGAGAAAGAGAAAGGGAGAGGGAGACAGCATTCACTATGCTCTTCTTGTTATTAAAAAAAAAAAACCTCATAAAATTTTTTTAGGTCTATGTCATCATCCTACCAACAATAATCACAGAGAAGAATGGAAGGTACATTTTACCACTCCTTAATGAATAACAAAGTGACTAATGGTAGCCCTGGGTATTGCAGAAATTTAAAAACACAATGAGAAAACCTGCCTTAGGTTGATATTAATTACTATTATCATTGAATTCCATTGCTCAAATTGTTCTCCATGGTAGGGTAAGGAGCCATTGCCTTCTGGCATATTTTTCCCTGCCTGAAAAGCTTCATAGGAAAATACAATGTCCTGTGTCAGAAACACCACACTCCTTAAAGGTCAAAAGATTTTGGGCTCCTAAGGACATGAAAATGTTTGCTAGGCTTTATCTAAAGGTACAGTGAAAACTATAGAGGCTATATCCCAGATCTCTTACATTAGAGTGGAATGTATGTTTCCATTTTGGTATGTGATGGGAATAGGTAAAACACAAACATATATGGAAGATCAGGGGTTTTTTTTGTTTGTTTGTTTGTTTTTAAAATATATTTTTATTGGTTTCAGAGAGGAAGGGAGAGATAGAAACATCAATGATGAGAGAGAACCACCGATCGACTGCCTCCTACCCCCCGCCCCCCCCCCCCACTGGGAATGGAGCCCACAACCCAACATGTGCCCCCGACCAGAATCAAGCCGGGGACCCTTCAGTCCGCAGGCCAACGCTCTATCCACTGAGCCAAGCCGGTTAGGGCTGAAACTAGGTTTTTCTGAGTACTTATTCTGAAAATCTTTAAAAAGCTGGCCAAAACAATCTCATTTTAATATACCAGTTCACATAATAAGCAAGTCAGAACATTTCCAAGGCAAGATGTTGTTTTCCTTTATGCAGCCAGCAAAAACAGCTCTGAGCTTAGGTTGTAATGATAAAAGGATTTTGGAGCAGCTGTCTTGAGGGAATCATAAACAGGACCCAACCTTATGCCCCAAGGTATAAAGAATATGCAGAGTCTGCATGGTGCTTCTAGTGTCAGGACAAATCATTCTGCTTTTTTCAGTGTGAGTAACTGATGCCAATGGATGAGTAAAGGGAGAAATAAAAGTACAGACTGAGACCTGTGGCTTGGTTAGGTGAATAACACCCCTATCACAAAATCATGAGTGCTCACTCACGTTCATTTTCTAAATTCCTTGAGATTAATTTATAGCATTTTTGAAAAATTTAGGAGTGGAATACATATTAATTACTGTGGAGGCTCCAAATTTTCTGCTATTTGTGGTTTAAATTGTGAGAAATATCACAGAGCACAACCCCCATTAAAAAAATCTGTGGCCTTTTTTTGAAAGGTAAGTGCAGGGTTGAAAAAATTATGTGATGCATTCCTTTAAGTCAATTCGGGAATGATGAATATAGTTGCTATCTTCTATAATAAAAGCCTAATATGCAAATTGTCCCCTACGGTGGTTGTTCCACTGGGAGTTCGACTGCTTGCTATGACATGCGCTGACCACCAGGGGGCGGTGTAGAACATGGCGGGCGTCAGCAACGAAATAGCACTGGCAGCAAGTGGAGGCGCTGCCAGGCCCGATGGGCTCCCACAAGAGCGGGACTGCGGTGGGATGGTGGAGCAGATGAGTGGGCAGCGCCAGGTCAAGAGGCCCACACTGTGCACTGGCCCGCGGCTGCGCTCACCATATGGAGCGCCGTTGACTCAGGTGGAGGGGTCCGCGGGGGCCTGGGGGCCCAGGTGCTGCCCAGGGCCCAGAGGTCAGCTGGGACCTGCCCTTCCATGCCAGATGCTCGCGCTTCGATTGCCTGCCAGGCCTAGGGATTGCACCCGTTCACGGATTTCGTGCACTGGGCCTCTAGTATAAAATAAGAACTACAGTGGGGCCTTGACTTACGAGTGTCCCGACTAACGAGTTTTTCGAGATACGAGCCATCTCTCGGCCGATTTTTTGCTTTGTGTTGCGAGCTAAAATTCGGGTTACGAGCCAGCTTCAGATACCCCACCGCTAGTTGGCGCAGCGAACGTCACAGTGAATGCCACAACATCAGCCCAGCATCACGTGTCTCACTCATTCACTTTTTGATTTGACATACGAGTAATTTGAGTTACGAGCTCCATCACGAAACGAATTAAACTCGTAAGTCAAGGCCCCACTGTAGACTGCTTCGTAGATACTAGCACTGTTCTCATCGTATGTAATGAATTCTCATTTAATCCTCTCATCCCTAGGAGGTCGATATTATAATCCCATTTTACCCACATTTTACCCTTGAAAGGAAGGCACAGAGACACTCCATTACGAAGCACATAAAATTATGGTGCCGGGATTCGAACCCCGGCCATTTGACGCCCACATTTGTCTGTGTTTCTATCCGACCGCTCAGGACTCAGGTAAATCCTCTGGGTCCTGACTACTCCCAGGCCAGTCAGAAAGGTGTCAGCACAGAGACAGCGTCAACCTTTAAAAAGGCCATTCATTCCCCAGGACCGAGAACCCCGGCCCGTAACATGCCCACCTTCCTGGTGACTCAGCAATTACTCAGCTGTCTTTGCCCAAAGCAGCACTCCACCCACTGAGTGAGCTTGGTTGTTGCACAGCCACAGCCCATCGCCACACAGGAAACCGAGGGCGTGTGTTAGACTAAGGACGCGCTGCCCAGGATTCACAAGGGCCCGGTCTGCTCCAGGCAACAACATAATCTTATTTCGGGGTCTGTTCTGCTTCCTCTGTTGTACCACAACAAACGTCCTTGGACGGCATTTTCTCTCAGATTTGAAGCCAAACTGAGGAAATCTAAATGCTGAGGTAGATACAGCAGAACCTCTGGGACTGGACCGCACGGGCTAGAAACGAGCTCGACTGGATTCTCCACAGGCCATTAACCCGGCGCGGCTCTTTCGTGGCCTCGGCCTTTGCAGAGTTTACGAGCTGTAAATTCAACACACGGACCTCCCTGCGGCTCTCGGTCCTCTCATGTCCGAGGAAAGGTCTTTGCTGTGGTGAGCAAGGAGCCCAAACACAACGAAGCAGGAAGGAAAGTTTTGCACAGAGAGAAGAGAGAGGGAAAGCCGCGAAGAAAAGCGCGCTCCCCGGGAATCCGGACGTGAATTGCGACG